ATTGGCAGTATGCATTATTTACTTATTGCATGTAAATAATTTCCTCCAAGGAACTAGACTTCTCCAAGGTTAGACTTGGAGGCAGTGACTGGCCCAAGGTCACCTAATGAGCTTTGTGGCCATGTGAGAATTTGAACCCTAGTCTCCCAGGTCCTAGTCAGACACTCTAACCACTGCACCATGCTGTCTCTGTTGTTTTCTGTCTGTTATCGTAAGGGCTCTTGGGCAAGTTTTAATGTTGTGCGACAGAGGAATGCAACACAACAGCTGTGCTAGTGGGAACTTGTTGTGCAACAAGGTTACCAGCAACATGCTTATGCATTCTCTTTTTCAACAACATTCCACTGGCACACACAAAAAATTCACCAGCAGAACACACATATTGCTAAATGACTTTAACTGAGTGCTACCTTGGATACAACCCTATAGCCATATGGAATCAGATGGCTCTGCTTTGCTTCGTTATAAATGCATGCTTTTAAAATAAGTATTCTCGGGCGGTGTGCAGGATCCAGTCAAGGCATGATTCCCAAGGCAAATTGGACCAGTTCTGAAAGATTGGGCATCGGTCGAGTTGGGTTGAGACAGCCAGAGATGGCTGTGGGTCAGATGGGGTAGCCCAGAATGCTCTGGAGCTGTCAGTGGGTGGGGCATCAGACAAGAAGGAGAAGCAGGCATCAGGCAGAAAAACCCACAAAAAGGCTGAGACTTACCTGACTGCCGCGTGCATTTTCCTAGGAGAATGTAGAAGCCCATCGCCACCTGACTCTCCTTCCTGCCTGAGGCCCCCGCTTTGCAGGACCAATGTCTCCTCTCAACAGCTGTTGAGCTTCAAGTCTTAACTATTTTGTTTCTAGGATAATGCAAGCTTTAATTCCCTAGCCACTCCATTGCAATCAGGAACAGTGCATGGATCATGGGTGGTCAAATTATCGCAGGCTCCTACTGGAGAATACCTGTGCCATCACTACTGATAAGCAACACAGTCCCCCCCCTCCCGAGTCATACTAAGTTACTGATAGGTTATTTTATTTTTTATGAATGTGAAATATTATCATTCATAGAGAGACAGAAAAATAGAGCAAGTAGATGTAAATAAACTTTAGAATTGGGCACCCGTTGTTAAGTTATTTTATTAGCTCCTTAATTCAAACTCTGGAAAAATTGCGAAAAATGCTTGCATTATTCCCACACGCAATCACCTACATGGGCATTATTTTTTTTTAAGAAACAAAGGATCTCAAGCCAACCCAGAAATCATACACACTGAATACCATGCTCCATAAGAGGATGAGTGGAAGAGACTCAGCCTCTCACCCATCTCAACCCAAACCTGACTCTCTGGTTTGCGTAAGATCATACAGACTGGGGTGTGTTTTTGTGGTTATTTTAAATGCTGGGATATATCCTTCTCCCAGAGCCATTTGAGGTTGCCCCTGCTGGAAAATTGCTCTCTACAAAAGCTCCCTCAGCAGTAATTACCTAAATGGGGGAAGGGAGGGGAGATCCATTTAGAATCCACTTCATTGTGGGATTAGCTAATTAATTAACGGTTTCACTGACAACTCGAAGGAGAAGAGTGTGTTAAATGGCAAGGCTGTGGTGCTTGATTTATGTGTTCTGACACACACACACACACACACACACACACACACACACACACACACTAGTCCTCTCCTCCTCCTCCCCTCCTCCTTCTCTAACCCTGCCACAGGAAGAAAAAAAAACACATCCAGCCAGGATGGTTCCAATGATTTCTATGCCTCCATGGTCTCTAGAGGGGCTAGTTCCTTACAGAGCCAAATGGGGTTGGGGGCTCAGAACCCCAAAGGCTGCAACAGAAGGCTGGGAGTGGGAGTTGGGAGGCTGGGACAATGGCCGAGAGACGGAAACAGTGGCAGTTGGATTATGTGGCAGCTGATTCTGGTCATAGAAGGAACTGTGTCCTGATGAACCATTTGACTCTTGGGGGGATGTCCATCTGCCTACCTCAAACACACAAACACACACAGGGGGGAGAGAGAGAGAGAGAGAGAGAGAGAGAGTTTGAGGACAGTACTAAGGAGTGAAACTGAATAGAGTCAGAATCTTGGGAAAAGGTTTAGAAGAAGGTGACAGGAATGCCACCAGCTTAAGTGAGGATGGACAGCTCAGGTTATTAGATTGGCATGCTTTCATTTCTAAGTACCAATCTGTCAATTTCAGTTTCTTTCACTTTCTCATTTTCCCCAACCTTAAGTTCATCCCCCTGTGTTTCCACATCAGTTTGCGGTTGTTTTTAAGTCCTCATGAAGACTCGTCAGCATTTGAGTGCAAATATTCCCTAATCTGTATGTGTTTGTATGCAGCCTTGCCTAACACACAGGTTTATGCAAAGCCGTTTCTCCTAACACAATGCAATTTTGTATGTTACTTTCACTAATATATGCATTTTTAGGCACCCTTTACCCTAGGGCATCCATTACTTGACTGGAGAACTGTGTTGCAGTCTGAATTTTGTTTCAGGAAGCGCAAATTGTGGAAGTTAACTTTTGAACACAAACTGAACTGGATTTCTACCCCATCCATGAGAAACTGTTAGTGGAATTTTTTTTTATTATTTTTTTGGTTCAGTCAATCAACCAGCTACAAATCCACCTAACAGTTACCGTGTCCACCCCACATTTTACCAGCTTCTCCACAATAATATAATGGGGGACTTTATCAAATTCCTTATTGAAATCAAGATACACTACATCTTCATCATTCCTCTGATCTACTAAGCTTGCAACTCTATTAAAAGAAAAAAGAAATGAGATTTGTCTGGCGTGACTTGTTTTTGAGAAACCAATCTGGATTTTAGTAATTTCAGCATCCTTTTCTAAGTGCTCACAAACTGACTGCTTAATTATTTGTTCTAGGACCTTTCCTGATATCGACATCAAGCTGAGTGGTTGGTAGTTACCTAAAGGTAAAGGGACCCCTGACCATTAGGTCCAGTCGTGGCCGACTCTGGGGTTGCGGTGCTCATCTCACTTTATTGGCCAAGGGAGCCGGCGTACAGCTTCCGGGTCATGTGGCCAGCATGACTAAGCCGCTTCTGGCGAACCAGAGCAGCACATGGAAACGCCGTCGTGGTGATTTGAACCGCTGACCTTCTGATCAGCAAGTCCTAGGCTCTGTGGTTTAACCCACAGCGCCACCCGCGTCTGGTAGTTACCTAGGTCCTCTTTTTTCCCTTTTTTTGAAGATGGGGACAACATTTGCCCACCTCCAGCCTGCAGGGACCTCACCTGTTCTCCAAGAATTCTCAAAGACTATAGACAGAGCCTCTGAGATGACATCCACAAGCTCCTTTAGTACCCTTGTGTGCAGCTCATCAGGCCCTGGAGATCTGAATTCATTTAATGTAGCTAGGTGTTCTCTTATTACCTCTTTTCCTATCTTGGGCTGCAGCTCCCTCCTTGTGTCATTTATTCTGTTATCACCAGGCTGGGCACTGCTTTCCTTTTGAATGAAGACAGAGGCAAAGTAGGTGTTGAGCAGTTCCACCTTCTCTCTGTCACTGAATAGCATTTCTCAGTCTCGATACAGAAGATCTACTACTTGCTTGCTCTTCCTCTTGAGCATAGCCAAAGAAACTTTTAAACATTATTTTTAAGCTCTCTTGCAAGCTTGAACTCATTCTGAACTTTGGCGCAACTGATCTTCTCCCTGCAACTGTTGGTTGGCTACTCTTGTATACTCTCCCTTCACAATTTCCCATTTCTTCTGTTTTTTATTCATGCCCTTCTTAAATCTCAGCTCATCCGTAAGCTCCTTATGCAGCCACACCAGTTTCGTTAGATGCCCCCCACTTTTCTTTCTTGTTGGAATTGTATGCATTTGTGCCACCAATATTTCACCCTTAAGAAACTCTCTTCCATCTTGAAGTTGTTACAGTAAGTGCCACACTTTTTAACAACAACAACAGGTGCTGGTACTGCGTTCCCTTGAGTACCCCCTGGGAAAAACCACTTATTATTACTCTTTTAAAAAATTTATTAGTTGCTTGCTTTGTAAAAGGTCTCTAAGCAACTTACAAAGCTTTAAAAACATAACACACAATGGATATTATTATTATTATTATTATTATTATTATTATTATCTATTACATTTGTATACCGCCCGATAAAGGGCCTTGGCCCAGTATACCTGAAGGAGCGTCTCCACCACCATTGTTCAGCCCAGACACTGAGGTCCAGCTCCAAGGGCCTTCTGGTGGTTCCCTCACTGTGAGAAGACAGGTTACAAGGAACCAGGCAGAGGGACTTCTTGGTAGCGGCACCCACCCTGTTGAACGTCCTCCCTTCAGATGTCAAGGAAATAAACAACTACTGTATCTGACTTTTAGAAGACATCTGAAGGCAGCCTTGTTTAGGGAAGTTTTTAATGTTTAATGTTTTATTGCATTAACAACAACAACAACAACAACATCTGTTGGGAGCTGCCCAGAGTGGCTGGGGAAACCCATCAAGATGGGCGGGGTATAAATAATAAATTATTATGATATTATTATATATTTGCAGGTCTCTATTAACATAATGTTAAAATCTAAGTGGTTATGCAATGAAACCATCAAGGCAAATAGCTAATAAATAGATGCTGATGTCACTACTATAATTTCAGTACTGATGATGACCACTTCTCCTTCCCTGCTCACCAGGTCTCAGCCCACACGCCTCCTGACTCTCACCCAGGACTCTACCCTGGCTCTTACCCAGGGACCAAGCAAACTCAGAGGTCATCCCAAAACCTCTCACAATGAAGAGGACCCTTTGATCTTGCTGGTCTCACCTTAGTCTCATGCAAAGATTGTAAACATGTAAAATGTAGAACATGTGACTCTCTTCTGTTTGCTAGGAGAGGGGCACATAGGAAGCTGCCTTATCAGATCATTGCTCCATTTGGTTCAGCACTGTCTACATTGATTGGCAGCAACTCTCTGGGGATCCAGGCAAGGGATAATTCCCAGGCCTATCTGGAAATGCCAGGGATTGAACCTGGGACCTTTTGCATGCAAAACATGTGCTCTACCACTGAGCTACAGCCCCCTCCCTGATAATAATTGACTTGAGCCTTATAACACTAGCACTTGGGGATGTCCAATGAAGCTGGCTGTTGGAAGATTCAGGAGAGATCAAACAAAGGGCTTGCAGGCAACAACCAATTTATGTGCGTCCAACTGACGCGCTTCATACATTACCCGGAAGTGACTTTTAAAATGAGCCTGTTTCCAGCTCAGCTGTCAGACACTACTCTGGCTATTGATCTCCTACCTAGCAACTAAGTGGGTGGGATGGAGGAAAGGCCCACTCATTAGCCTGGAGGGCACCATCACTTAGTGGTAGCTCTTGCAACATGGCTCATTCTTCTGGGATGCTGATGAGGACACTTAAGTGGCCCGCTAAGGTCTTGCAAAGAAACTTGTCTAACCAGTTCAGCAATAGAGGTCCCTTCCAGCTCTAGGAGTCTATGACCAGTTCAGCAATAGAGGTCCCTTCCAGCTTTAGGATTCTATGACCCATTCAGCAGTAGAGGTCCCTTCCAGCTTTAGGATTCTATGATTAGATTCTAACTTCATTGGGTACAGAACCCCTAAAATTGGAAGGGACTCAGGGCATCATTCAGATTAACCCCTCCACCCCATCTGAAACCCACAGCAATATTTTCTAGCCTCTCCTTGAAACTGTCAGCATCTATTAAGAGACGAACCTTGAACCATCCTTGATTCTGTGCAGACCCATATTTCCAACCATCCTTTTCACTGGAGCACATAGGAGGTCTGGGTGCATTGTGTGGCCCTGAGTGACAGATCTGGGAACTGGGGCTTCCAGGGGACGGAGGAGGCAAGACATGCTGTCACCAGCTGAATCCAAGCTAGGGAAGTAGTTGAATTAGCACTGTTTGCTGAGCAAACACTGCCAGGTTTGGGGGGAGGCTGCAGAAGGGTCTAACCACACAGACCTTTATTTGTTGGCAAACATTCCCAGCTCCCTCCACTCACCCAACACCCCTCGCTCCCCAGTTCCTCCGCAGCTTAATCGAGAAGAGGAACTGGTAGCTGGATAAAAGGTTTTCAGAAACAGAGGTTACTGCTTCTTGCTGGTGACGAGAAAGGGGGAAGGTGAGCCAGGAGGAAGTCAGGGAGTGAATTGCCCAAAGCAAGCAGTATTTATTTAATATTTTATGGAGTCGTTAAAGGCTCCAGGCACATTAAAGATCTCAAATAAGGCGCTGGGAAACTGGAAAAGGTTTCAAGCTGGACTTAATTAGAAGAGGAGGTGGTAGTAAAAGGGAGGGGAGAAGATAACACCCCCCCCCCATTTTCATATATAAAATATTGCAGGCTTGGAAAGGGGGATACAGCTCTTATTTCATCTTGGGATGTTCTGAACACAGGGGATCAGGATGTATCATGTCAAAGAGCAAAGCTTGCCAAAGGCTCATGAGATGGCACAGGCACTAAATGTATAGGCCAGGATTGTCCAAACTGCAGGCTCCTGAGCCAATCCAACTTGTCCTCAGCAGCCCCACCCACCCAGATTTCATATAAGGTCTTTTTTCATATCATTTTTAATTGAAGCCTTAGAATTATCAGAAAATGATAAATTTACAGAAGAGCTACGACTTCCAGAGTCACCTGGGGAGAAGGGTTAACTGTTAAATCACTCTGGGAATTGTAGATCTGCAAGGGGAACAGGGGGTCTCCTGACAACTCTCAGCACCTTTAACCAACTACAGTTCCTTGGATTCTTTGGGGGAAGTCATGACTGTTTAAAGTGGGATGATATTGCTTTAAATGGATGGTGCAGAGATGGGGCAACAATAGGATTTAGATGGAAACATCCCATTGCAGTTTGGGGTTCTTTATACCACAAACATGTTTTTCAGACCCAGGCTTCAATGTTGTATTCTGCCCTGGGACGTTAGGGTGAAAGGTGGATCAACAACAACAATAACAACAACAACAACAACAACAACAACAACAACAACAACAACGTAGTGTACATGTGGCATGCTGAATTTGTCCAATCCTCTTTTAAAGCTATCCAAGTTAGTGGCCAACACTGTCTCCTGTGGGAGTGAGTTCCATAGGTTAACTATGTACTGCATGATTCTTTTTGTCTGTCCTGAATCTTCCAGTCGTCTACTGCTTAATACAACCATTTCTATGTGGTACACAATAGGGATGCAACATAAAATAAATTAAAGGGCCCCTCCACTGGTGGGTTGTTTTTCAAGAACTTGGTGCATTTGTGCTTCCAGGGTTGGGCTATCCCTTTCCATTTTATTTACAAAACACACACACATAGCCCACAGACCCCATAACTGTTAACAGCAGAGCCACACCCCACACCCCAAAAACCTGCAGCAGTAAAATACTAACAGTCTGAGAAAGACGTCTTGCGCAATACCCACATCCTAATGCAAGTAGTACAATTATTTTCAGATCCTTTCAAAACACCTAAAGCTGAAAAAGAGCTCTCTGTAATTCAAATGCTCCCAGCATTTCGAACATCAATCGATCCAGGAAAGAGATAGAGTCTTACTTAATGTGTTCTTCTCCTGATCTCGTTTTTCTCTCTTTCTTTCTCTTGCTAACTCTCACACACATGCACACACAAACATCCAGGCCCCCCGATTCCCTCTTCCTTCCATCCTTCCGTCCTCCCAACCATCCTGCCGTCCTTCTTTTATTTCTCCCTTTCTTCCTTTTGGCTTTGTTGATGGTCTGCAGGAAGACCCTTGATAAAAAGAAGCTGAGAAAGTGAGTGAGGGATGTGTGAGTTGGTGGGGGGGAAGGGGGGGCTGGACCGGAGAGAGGGAGGGGTACACACACACACACACACACACACACACACAGGACAGGACAGGAGGTGGATGGAATCTCGGTATCTAAAAAGGAATTAAAGTGCTTTTACTGGAGTGAAGAAATCATCTGAAGAATGGCCAGGGAACAAAAGCTGCCGGGCTCTGGACAAGTTGCCCTGAATAGGCTGAGATCCCCTTAAATGGGGGGAACCCACCCTCCTGCCCCCCCCTCTTAAGCCTTCCTTGCTCCCTTCTTCCAAGAACAAATGTCGAGCAAGAAAACATGAGGGTGGGGAGGGCGCGAGGGGGGGCACAGAGAGAGGGAGGGAGAGGGAGGTAATCCGCAGCCACTTTGGCCCTGAATAAAGGTGCAGTGTGAAGCCTTTGGCTTATTCAGCTGCGCTAAGCAGGATTTACAAGGCAAGAGAAAGAGAGGGAAGAAAAGGCTGGGGGAGAAAGGGAGAATTATTTGTGTCTCTTAATACTTGTTAAGCACTCCTCTTTTGCTGGGCGAGACAAGACACAGAGAGGCTCAAAGCCCCGAGGAATAATCCAGGCCCCCAAACCACACTGGGGCTCCTCGCCGGGCGGCACACAAAGAGGATGGCAATTAACCTCTGGGGTCCCCAGCGACAGTGATCTAATCAGCGTTGGGTGCAGCAGAGCTTGGGAGGAGAGAGCGGCAAGGTGGGGGGAGGATGGAGCCACCACTGCAGCCTTCCTGGGGACAGAGGAAGCAGGCCAAGGCCACCTGTGGAGGAGGAGGAGGAGGAGGAGGAGGAGGAGGAAGGGGCATGGAGAAGGCTCCCCCTCCCCTCCCATCACCGCCAATCCCAAATCAAAGAATTGGCCGTAGCTCAGTGGCAGAGCATCCGAAGGTCCCAGATTCAATCGTGCACAAGCTGGAAGAGACTGAAACCCTGGAGAGCTGCTTCCAGTCAGTGGAGGAAATACGGAACTAGATGGAACCAAAGGAACTGACTGTAGCTCACGGGCAGAGCATGCAAAAGGCTCCACATTCAATCCATGGGAAAGGCTCCCTGCATGAAAGCCTGGAGCAGGCATAGGCAAACTCTGGCCCTCCAGAAGTTTGGGACTACAATTCCCATCATCCTTAGCTAACAGGACCAGTGGTCAGGGATGATGGGAATTGTAGTCCCAAACATCTGGAGGACCGGAGTTTGCCTATGCCTGCCTTGGAGAGCTGCTGCCAGTCAGTGTGGGCAACACTAAGTTCAATGGACCAAGGGTCTGGCTCAGTATAAGGCAGCTTCCCATGTTCCTTTGTTCCAAAAGGTTTCTGGGAACCCATGGAGGCTCCTTGTCTACCTCTGGATGCAGCTGTGCTGTGGCCTTGATGAGTTTGGCTTCTAGCTCTCCATAATGACTCTGCCTTCGGGGGGGGGACCTCAAGCCTCCTCACACTCCGTCCATCCATGGGGAGAGGCAGGTTTTGCCTCTGCCACTGGGTCTGAAGACACCAAGTAAGAGGATAGTGAGGAGGAGGAGGCGGGCCTAGCCCACTTATAGAGAATACACACAGCTCCCAGGCTCTGCTTGGACATACAGCTGGAAGAACAGAAAGGGGTGTCAATCTGCCTACTTGAAGTCGAGATATAGCTTCTTAGTAACACCTATGGAAAAGTGATAATTGAGCCTAAATTGATTCAAACACAGGCAATTAAAGTAAAACGCGACTCCCTGCTGTGAACGAGAGAGAGTGGTGGGTGTGTTTTTTATATATTTTAAAAAACCATAATCATAATAAAGGAATATTAATGTGAAAGATGTCTAATCACAGGGGGTTTGCGCAAATGGAGGTACGTTGCTTCTCCAGTCCTCCTGTCACTCCAGGAACAGGTGCACTCTCTTAAGTGCCCCAGCTCTAGAAAAGCCACTAGGGGGTTTAAACCAGGGGCATATATTTGGGTGGAGCCATTTCAAAGCAAAGACACCCCAAGGTGGTCCCCTCCATCCATAGATAGGCAAGGCAAGAGTAGGAACAAATGGAAATGATGTTAGCCATAGACTTATGGAAATCTATAGACTTAAGACCATTGATCTCAATGGGTTTTACTCAGTCTATGAGGTGGGTCAATTCGGATGGCTGGGGCACTGATCCACCAACCTTAGTCTGCTCTCAGCCAGCTCTCACCTGCCTGCTGTCTTCCTTACAGTTAGTCCAGGAGGTGCCCTTGGCTGACAGCTTCCTTCTCCTCAGTCTCAACGGTACCCTTGTAGAACTCAGCGGGGAAGAGAATGGTGACAGACTCGAATGAGTTGGCTCTGCCTGCCGTTTGGTCTCCCTGCCGCCGCCTCCTTCTTCTTCTTCTTCTTCTTCTTCTTCTTCTTCCTCTTCCTCTTCCTCCTCTTCCTCTTCTTCTGGCTTTTTTCAGCTGGAACTCACTGGAACTCAGTTCCAGCACCTCTCAGGTGGGCACCATTGCCATTACAGTGGTACCTCGGGTTACATACGCTTCAGGTTACATATGCTTCAGGTTACAGACTCCACTAACCCAGAAATAGTGCTTCAGGTTAAGAACTTTGCTTCAGGATGAGAACAGAAATCGTGCTCCGGTGGCACGGCAGCAGCAGGAGGCCCCATTAGCTAAAGTGGTGCTTCAGGTTAAGAACAATTTCAGGTTAAGTACGGACCTCTGGAATGAATTAAGTACTTAACCTGAGGTACCACTGTATAAGAGAACAAGGTAGGCATTCGTGGTGAGTTCTGGCACCTCTTTTTCTAGAAAAATAACATTGATTATCATCATCATCATTATTTCTATCCCACCTTTTTCCCAATCCAGGACTAAAGGCAGCTTACGTAGATGGGGGAAAGGTGGGGTGGAAATAATAATGGTAATGATAATAATACAATACATGTATTATTATAAAAGTAATTCAACTATAATCTACGACTATGAAAACAGATTTTATTTTTTTAAAAAAACAGTTGGTAAAAACAGCACAGCCTTATTTAAAAACCCTTTTCTTAAAAAGAAAAAAGAAAAGAAAAACCAGTCAGGCCTCAGAAGCGTGTTGGAATAAAATGACAAGGAAGGAGCTGGTCTAGCTTCTCTAGGATGAGAGTTCTGAAGACTGGGTGCAGCCACCAAGAAGGCCCTCTCCCCACCAAGTATGCTTGTGAGAGTGGCAGGACTGAGAAAAGGGCTTCCCCTGAGGACAATGGGCACCAGCCAGCACTGAAGTGGCCTGAGAGCTAGTGTGGTGTAGTGGTTAAGAGCGGTAGACTAGTAATCTGGTGAACCAGGTTCGCGTCTCTGCTCCTCCACATGCAGCTGCTGGGTGACCTTGGACTAGTCACACTTCTCTCTGAAGTCTCTCAGCCTCACTCACCTCACAGAGTGTTTGTTGTGGGGGAGGAAGGGAAAGGAGAATGTTAGCCGCTTTGAGACTCCTTTGGGTAGTGATAAAGCGGGATATCAAATCCAAACTCTTCTTCTTCTCTAGTTGTTGCTCCTCAGGTGAGTTTAGCCCTGTATTCCCCCCAAAAGTCACAGGCAAAACAAACACCTCAAGCGTCTTGTCTCAGCATCATCTAGAAGTCAGAGCTAGGGGGCATGTGCTCCCAGATTACAACTTCCATAATCCCTGGCCACTGACCAATCTGGTTGGGCTGAGAGGAGTTGCAGTCCAGCAACATCCAACAGTGTTAATAATTCTCTGTTTTTATGGATCATTAGATAGATAGATAGATAGATAGATAGATAGATAGATAGATAGATAGATGCAGCCCTTGGACCAACTTAGCTCCAGCTCAATATGGGTACAGATTTCAGTTTGTGCTACACATTCCAACCTGCACATCAGTTCAGAAGATGTGGATCAGGTAAGCTCTCTCAGAATGTATCCCATATTCTACCCGTAGTTCAGCACAAACCACTATACTGGGGAGAGGAAACCTGTGGCCCTTCAGGTGTCATTAGTCTACAACTCCCATCATCCCTGATCTTTGGCCACGCTGGCTGCGATTGCTGCAAGATGGAGCCATGAGAACATAAGGAGACCATTCTGTTCTCACAGAGGCCAAACAGATGCCCGCCCCAAAGGGAAGCCTGAAAGCAAGACCTGAGCACAGCAGTACTCTGCCTACAGGAAATTACCAGCCACTGGTATTCAAGATGCACAATGCCTCTGGCAGCAGCAGTAGAACATAACCATCATGGCCAGTCCTTCAACATTGGGAGGGCCACAGGCTCTCACTCCTTCATCTTTTTGGTGCCTGCTAAAAACATTCCTGTTTAGACAAGTCTACCTAGATCCTTAGAAAGTTGACGTAATTTCAATGTGTTTCAGTATTTCAATTTGTGTATGTTGTAAAGTAGGGTTGTATTTTTATTGATTTTACTGTTTTACCTTTTGCAAACAGCTTTGAGGTCTTTTCCCCATCAAGCGGTGTATAAATGTTACGAAAAAATAAATAATAAAATGAATCATTTACGTCGGCCACCTCTGAGAGCTGGTAAGCCTGCTTATTGCTGGGCTAACCTATCTGTACCCTGAAAGCGCCAGAGTCATAAGAACCTTTCAGCACCATGGTCAGCACCACTCAGCTAAGACTTTGGCTGTATTCCTTGTAAGCTCCATTGAGAAGGACAACTTGCATGTGACTTCAGCATGATTTGGATCTTCCATTTTTTATTTTTTGCTTTTCCTTAATTACTAACTAGTACACCCCACCCCACCCCCAAAAAGGCAGCTGATCTGAATATGGGGAAGGGGGTATTTAACCCTTTTCTTCCATGTCATTCCCTAATTTAAATCCCACCCTATTCATTCTGGAGGGGAAAACGTACAGCAATCGGTGCTTTTTTCATACAAATATTGATCAGGGATGGAGACACTCCAGATGTCCCTATCTGACCCTGGGGACTCAGCCAAAGCCCCATCCCCAATTCACTGGCCCAGCACCACCTAAAGTGGTTCATCCTGATTGGCATGTGCCCTGGATCTGTGAAGGCGCCTCTTGCTTAACTGAATGGAATATGTAGAGATGTGTGTGAAAGCAGAGGATATTAAACATCAGCCTTGTCGTTCAGCTCCTCCTCCCAAGGTAAGAGCAGATTGAAGCCTTTGAAAATCGTGCTGATCCAAATATTTAGTTTCTCTTACTGCCATTCAAGGACACTTTCCAGCTGGGCAAAAGCACTCAAGCAGGGAGCAAAGAAGGGCCAGTAAAGGGTGTGGCCTGGGAAGAGTCCCCAGAACCAGATGGAAATTTTTGGAGGGCTACATTTGTCCTGAAGTTTATGCTTCCAGGATCAGAAGCAGCACATCACTGTATAAGAACCGTGGAAAATGTCCTCATGTACTACAGGTGGGCTTCCAAGATGCATCAGGTTGCCTGCATAATTCTGCCTTATTCTGAGTCAGACTACTAGCCCATCCAGCTCAGTATTGCCTACACTGGCTGGCAGAAGCTCTACAAGGTTTCAAGCACAAGCCTCTCTCATCCCTACCTGGAGATGCTGGGGATTGAACCCAGGACCTTCTGCATGCAAGGCAGATGCTGTGCCACTGAACTTCCCTGTAGTGTCAGATAGGCCTTTGGTCTGATTCAGCAGGACTCTTCTTAATTCCACTTCTACGCATCCAGTGAGGGGGTTGTTTAAAACATGAAAAGCTCATGCAGCAATATATGCATTAGCCTCTCAAGAACCATCAGATTCTGTGTTGTTTTTCGAGGCTGCAATTTGGGGTGCCATGAGAGGGGTGCAAGCAGGGCTCCCACAACCCCACTGAGATCAGTTGAGGGGTCCATTCTGGGGCGCAGTGCAAAGCACTCCAGTGCTCTAGGAAGCCACGAATTCCTACGTGCTTTCTCTTTAACAGGAACCTAATTTGTGGAATGAAGATAATATATCAATGGAAATTAACATCACACTCTTCCATACAGGTGGGTTGAGCTGCGGGTGAGTGCAATGTAATTAAGAAATTAAAAGGTAATTTCCACATATGCTTTCTGTTAATCTAACTCGGCAATCATTTAATTTACAGCAGGGGACTGGCAAGAAGGCAAGCCAAAATAAATAAGATAATACTATATTTAATTGCTCGACGGAATGATAATGAAATGGAGTGGCTTTTCAGCAGGCACTGCAGGGGAGGTGGGCTGACCCCTGGAACACGTTGGAGATTGGAAGGGGCTCTCCCCCCCCCTTCTCCTTCTTCTTTAATTTCACTTCCACGGGAGTTCAAACTTTCACCCAATGAACCCAACTTTTAGGAAGTTTTGACTCGAAACAGAACTTTCTGACTGATGTTTCTCCCTCCATGCCTGCGGGAAGGGCTGTAGTTCAGTGGTAGGTCAACTGCTTTACATGCAGAAGGTCCCATGTTCAACCCCCAGGTAGGACTGGGGAAGCTGCCTTGCCTGAAACCCTGGAGAGCTCCTGCCAATTAGTGTAGACAATACTGAGCTCAAGGGACTGACTCAACATAAGGCAGCATCTTGTGTTCCTATGACTTAAGGGAAGCGGCAGAGCTCAGGGCCAGAGCACCTGCTTTGCATGCAGAAGTTCCTGGGTTCAATCCCCAACAGCATCTCCAGTTTGGGCTGTGAAATACTCATTCCTGAAACCCCGGAGAGCTGCTGCCAGTCAGTGAAGACAATACTGAACTACATGGACCAATGGTTTGACTCAGTATAAGGCAGCTTCCTCTGTTCCTTAGTCCTACTCCCCGCCTTTCAGTTGCAGTTCTCCTGAGTCTGTTGCAAACCCCAGGGTTGCACACAGACAAGAGAGAAACAAAGATGGAATGAAAAATATAGTCAGGGGATGTCAACGCAGTGACCACAGGTACAAGCCTGCCCATGAGTATGTTGTTGTTGTTGTTGTTTATTGAATTTATATACTGTCTCAGGGCGGTTGACAGAACAAAATCAGAATATGAAACAACAATTATATAATCAAAATAAAAACAACAACCCAATAACACACACACACTCCCCAAAAATGGTCCCTATGATATGTCTAATTTAATATTCCTGAAATACACACAATGCACAACCCTGTTCCTGCTCGGTACCTGTTCTCACTGAGCGCATTCCGAACCTAGGAAGTCTTACCTGACCTGACCTGACCTGACAGTCTTTCCTTAGAAATGTCATTCCTTGCTCGCAGCCTGGGCAGGCCGCGTCCTCTTATATACCTGCTGGGATTGACAAGGCATCTGACCCTCACCTGAATCTCATAGCTCTCCTGTAGCTGCCTCTGATTACTTATCATTTGAATCTTGGTGGAAATAACTAGCATTACACGTCATGTGCATGGAAGTTGCCAACCTGGAACTTTTCTTTATTAGTGCCACTTTGTTTTTTACGATTCCTTGTAAATGAAGGAAAACAGCTTTTCTGCTTGTATATGTTGATATACAGGATTGTACAAAAACAAGGTTGGGTGCAGGCCTGGCCAGGACATAGGCATCCTGACTGTGACAAAGGTGACCTGTGTGCTTGCTTGCTTCCTTGATTAACAGCTGTTGGGAACTTCAGGGTCCCTGCTCTCCCTTCTTATGGTCTTTGTACTGGACCTGGAGACTCCAATAGAGAGCATTCCATGTCAAGAAGGAGGGCAAGTGGGCACCCTATCAAATGACAGGGCAGGAGTTACATGGAGCAGGGCCTTTTCACTGGTGGTGCCCATTGTATGCCTCGCTCTTCCCAGACCTGCTCTCTTTTGGCCTGTATTTTGGAGCTTTATAATTTAGGAAGACTTGGGAAGAACTGGTTGACAAGTCTTATCAGTTGCTGTATGAGCGGATATTATTTGCTGCTATTCTGTGCTTCTGGTGCACCAGGGTTTACACCAGTGTAATAGAGTTGGCCAGGATGCCAGAAGGGATACAATTTATGAGCTTTCTCCATTATCTGCACAGCAGGGAGTGTTCAGCCAACAGTGCAAAGGCTGAGCTGAAGTGTTCCCTGCTGGTTACCGGCTTTCAGCAATAGGGGTCGCTGTTTGGTAGTACAGTGGTACCTCGGGTTAAGTACTTAATTTGTTCCGGAGGTCCATTCTTAACCTGAAACTGTTCTTAACCTGAAGCACCACTTTAGCTAATGGGGCCTCCTGCTGCCGCCGCGCCGCTGGAGCATGATTTCTATTCTCATCCTGAAGCAAAGTTCTTAACCTGAAGCACTATTTCTGGGTTAGCGGAGTCTGTAACCTGAAGTGTATGTAACCTGAAGCGTATATAACCCGAGGTACCACTGTTCCAAATTGGTTAGTTGTCAGATTCTAGAGCTCCCTATTGGTGGCTGTTAGGTAATTCACAAAATACAAAGTCCAATCCTAAAACACAGTGTTCATTCATAAAGCAGTAACATAAATCTCCATTGCTACATATTGGGTGCATATTTCAGCGGTTGAACATACAAGTTTATGGCCATGCTGTAGTGTAGTGCTTATGCAACTGTGAATAAAAGGTGGCTGGGCTCATTGTCTTGGGGTTTGGGGGGGGAGAGATGACAAAACTGATTTCCAATAAGTGCCCCCCCCTTTATTTCCATAACAAGTCCTTGAGTCTGTACTCGGAATGGTGACACCAGGGACTTGTCAGTCCAACCCCTGCACAGTCTCATAGGCTGACCTTAAGGCAATTGGAGCAATTGGCTCAAATTGGGCCCCACAGGCCGCTCCTAAGGGGGCCCCTGCATCAGAGCAATCTAGATGGATTTTATTTATATCTATAATATTTTGCAGACTTTGACTGTGAACTGGGGCCCTACAAAAAATCAAGTTGTGCCCCACTGCTTCAAATTGGACCCCACTGGCTAGCCCTGAGTCTAATAGTTGCTGGGCCTGAGTTGCCCTGCCCTTGCATTAAGTCTTGGGTTTACAATTTTGGGAGAGGGGAGACTGTGGCACTGGGGAGCGGAAGGGCTGGCGAGGCCCCCTAGACTTAGAGGCCCAGGGCTTCAGCCTACTTAGCCTATACATAAATCTGGCACTGGGTGCAGCTCGGGAGGGGGTCCCAAGAGCTAAAGAATGAGGCCTGGAAGGCCACATTTGACCCCACTGTCCTGAAGTACCCTCCTTTGTTATATAGCTGGGTAGGTAAAGATATACCTATTTGTAGAAAGTTTAGAAGAGAGAGAGATACAGTGGAACCTCAGTTTTCGAGTGTCTCGGAAGCTGAACGATTCAGATCCCAAATGCCGAAAACCCAGAAGCAATTGCTTCCATTTTCTAGTGTGCCTCGAAGGTCGAATGGCTTCCTAGGCGAGTTTCTCAATTTTCCCCATTGAACTTGTTGACACCCCATTGCGCCTCGGTTGTCAAACGTTTCAGAAGTTGAACGGTCTTCTGGAACGGATTATGTTTGACAACCGAGGTTCCACTGTGTGTGTGTGTGTGTGTGTGTGTGTGTGTGTGTGTGTGTATCTGCTGATAGCTTAGAAGTCATCTTCACAATACAGTCATACCTCGGGTTGAATATGCTTCATGTTGAGCGCGTTCGAGTTGCGCTCCATGGCAACCCGAAAGTAATGGAGTGCGTTACTTCCGGGTTTTGCCGCTCGTGCATGCACAGATGCTCAAAATGACGTCATGCGCATGCACAAAAGCGACGAAAAGTGACGTGTGTGTGGGCAGACGTGCCGTCGCTAGTTATGTTTGCTTCTGGATGCGAATGGGGCTCCGGAACGGATCCCGTTCGTATCCAGAAGTACCACTGTAAATTGGTATATAAAATGATGATGGTAATAATAGTAGTAGTAGTAGTAGTAGTAGTTAATAATAATAATAATAGATACTTGTAAACTGCTTTGAAGCCACCTTGGCAATTAAGCAGTATATAAAATAAGAACAACAACAACATACACAAAAATAGACAGATAGACAGACACACACACATTCTGCACCCCTCCCCAAACCATCACCTCCCCCTCCTCCTCCCGGCATCAGATGCACACACACACACACACACACAGCATCATATGAGGGGCTGCATTTTGTATGCATGGCCTGGGAGCTTCTGAGCCTCTCCAGTCAGTAATTTGCTGATTGGAAAATGTTCCAGCTAAGGGATGTGGAGAGAGAGAAAGACAGAGGGGGAGGGAGGGAGGGAAGCGGGTGCCTGATCAAGGGCAGGGGAAGGGGGGGGGCCTGGAGAGATGGGAGTTCTCAAATGCAGCCCTCTAATCCCAACCATGTGGCCATCTATTATTTTAATAAAACCTGCACATCCAGCCCTCACGCCAGCTGCTGTTCCCCTTCTCTCATCCTGTGGATCTCATTTATTCCTCATTAGCAAAATCACCTGTTGTTTGTCAAATTGGGACGGAGCTGTTGGACAGTAAATTGCGTTGCGGCTGCCGAGGGTCTGGAGAGAGGAAGGAGGTGAGGTGGGCAGAAAGGGAGTCTGCTTGCGGGGGGGGGGAGAGAGTTGGGAGGGGAGCAGAAATCCAGCTGCTTACTTGATAAAAAGTAAGCTTCCCAAACCCAACACCACCCCTCTCCAACACATACACCCATGGAAGTCTTTACAGAGGCTTCTGGAATGCCACCATGAAAGATTAGCTTCTTCTGAGTCAACATCAAAGGACGGCACTGTTAGTCAATGAATCCTATGATGAGTCTTAGGCAACTGATCAATGGATCAATTAAATCTGCATAAGTTTGAACATGAGAAAAAACAATGGGTCCAAAGGGGGAGGTGGGCATGCTTTCTTTTCCTTTTTTGTTTCGATGGCACTTGTGTGGGTGTTACAGCCGCCACCATCCGAGAAGAGGCATTTTGTTGCGACAAACAAAAGAAAGTACTTCTTCATACAGTGCCTAGTTAAACAAAGGAAATTACTCTCCAGCAAGGAGCAGCATGGCCACCAAGTTGAATGGCTCCGAAACAGGCTGAGCCAAATTCTTAAAGGATAAGGCTTGCAATGGTCACTGCCTCCACTGTTGAATACAGTATTGCCTCTGAATACCAGATGATGGGAACCACAAGTGAGAAGAGTGCTGCTGCTGCCCTCAGGTCCTTCCTCATGGCCATCTGGTTGGCCATTGTGAGAACAGGATGCTGGACTAGTAGATGGGCCTTGAATCAGTTCCAGAAGACCAATGTCCTGATGTTCTAATGTCCCATGGTTCCATCTCATGAAGGATCAGGTACGCTCCTGGATCCAGCTTTGTCACCGGAGGCCCAGGCAGCCTCTGTGGCTTCGAGCACCTTCCATCAGCTTCAGATGGTACGACAGATGCAGTTGTTTCTGGGCCAGGAAAGGTTGGCCACAGCAGTTCGTGCTTCAGGGCTAGGATTGCTGCAATGCACTCTGCATGGAGCTCCCTTTGTGCTTGGTCCAGAAATGACAGTTAGTGCAGAATGCTGAAGTATGGTTGGTGCGGTAGGCGTGAAGAAGAGAAGAAGAGTTTGGATTTGATATCCCGCTTTATCACTACCCTAAGGAGTCTCAAAGCAGCTAACATTCTCCTTTCCCTTCCTCCCCCACAACACTCTGTGAGGTGAGTGGGGCTGAGAGACTTCAGAGAAGTGTGACTAGCCCAAGGTCACCCAGCAGCTGCATGTGGAGGAGTGGAGACGTGAACCCG